CTTACAGTGCCTTGCGAAAGTATTCGGCCCCCTTGAACTTTGCGACCTTTTGCCACATTTCAGGCTTCAAACATAAAGATATAAAACTGTAATTTTTTGTGAAGAATCAACAACAAGTGGGACACAATCATGAAGTGGAACGAAATTTATTGGATATTTCAAACTTTTTTAACAAATAAAAAACTGAAAAATTGGGCGTGCAAAATTATTCAGCCCCTTTACTTTCAGTGCAGCAAACTCTCTCCAGAAGTTCAGTGAGGATCTCTGAATGATCCAATGTTGACCTAAATGACTAATGATGATAAATAGAATCCACCTGTGTGTAATCAAGTCTCCGTATAAATGCACCTGCACTGTGATAGTCTCAGAGGTCTGTTTAAAGCGCAGAGAGCATCATGAAGAACAAGGAACACACCAGGCAGGTCCGAGATACTGTTGTGGAGAAGTTTAAAGCCGGATTTGGATACAAAAAGATTTCCCAAGCTTTAAACATCCCAAGGAGCACTGTGCAAGTGATAATATTGAAATGGAAGGAGTATCAGACCACTGCAAATCTACCAAGACCTGGCCGTCCCTCTAAACTTTCAGCTCATACAAGGAGAAGACTGATCAGAGATGCAGCCAAGAGGCCCATGATCACTCTGGATGAACTGCAGAGATCTACAGCTGAGGTGGGAGACTCTGTCCATAGGACAACAATCAGTCGTATACTGCACAAATCTGGCCTTTATGGAAGAGTGGCAAGAAGAAAGCCATTTCTTAAAGATATCCATAAAAAGTGTCGTTTAAAGTTTGCCACAAGCCACCTGGGAGACGCACCAAACATGTGGAAGAAGGTGCTCTGGTCAGATGAAACCAAAATCGAACTTTTTGGCAACAATGCAAAACGTTATGTTTGGCGTAAAAGCAACACAGCTCATCACCCTGAACACACCATCCCCATTGTCAAACATGGTGGTGGCAGCATCATGTTTTGGGCCTGCTTTTCTTCAGCAGGGACAGGGAAGATGGTTAAAATTGATGGGAAGATGGATGGAGCCAAATACAGGACCATTCTGGAAGGAAACCTGATGGAGTCTGCAAAAGACCTGAGACTGGGATGGAGATTTGTCTTCCAACAAGACAATGATCCAAAACATAAAGCAAAATCTACAATGGAATGGTTCACAAATAAACATATCCAGGTGTTAGAATGGCCAAGTCAAAGTCCAGACCTGAATCCAATCGAGAATCTGTGGAAAGAACTGACAACTGCTGTTCACAAACGCTCTCCATCCAACCTCACTGAGCTCGAGCTGTTTTGCAAGGAGGCATGGGCAAAAATTTCAGTCTCTCGATGTGCAAAACTGATAGAGACATACCCCAAGTGACTTACAGCTGTAATCGCAGCAAAAGGTGGCGCTACAACGTATTAACTTAAGGGGGTTGAATAATTTTGCACGCCCAATTTTTCAGTTTTTTTATTTGTTAAAAAAGTTTGAAATATCCAATAAATTTCGTTCCACTTCATGATTGTGTCCCACTTGTTGTTGATTCTTCACAAAAAATTACAGTTTTATATCTTTATGTTTGAAGCCTGAAATGTGGCAAAAGGTCGCAAAGTTCAAGGGGGCCGAATACTTTCGCAAGGCACTGTACATCTCTGCTATTTGACTGCACTTTATGTAAATACATTTTATGCATCAAAAACAGATTAAAATATAACCTTAGTTACATCTTTTTTTTTTTCTTATTCCCTGGAAGGGCCTCATGTTCACATTTTAAATTTACAGTATGCGCTGTGTGTTTTGTTTTTAATTCAATAAGGAGAGAACATCAAAACAAAAAAACAAGGGAAGGACAGATCTGTTAATTGAAACTGGTATCATAATGCTGGGGTCCACAATACTATCCCCACTTTAAAGTAAGTCAATACGATGATGACGGAGCCTCCAGTCTTACCTTATCTAATGAAAGTTGCCATTAATATTTAAAAAAACGATCAGTGTCCAACCAGAGAAATTCCATTCAACAGCACTAAAGAAACAGTTTGAATATTTTGAGAAACAGCCCTGCTTGCTTTCTGCTAGTGAATTAAGAGGACTGATATCAATCTCAGGGCTCAGACAGATGTGGAGTCATGATGTGGTCAGTCTAGCTTAGCAGGAAAAGTGGAAACAAAGGGAAATAGCTAACCTGGCTCTGTCAAAAGTTTAAAAATACACCATCCCCTCTAAGGCTCGCCAGATATCCTGCTGTATCTTGTTTAAGCTGTAGAAATGTGAACATGACTGTGTGGTTTTAAGGTGATTTATGTGCTGGAACCATTGCAACAGAAATGTGTAGAAAACACTGACCAAGAATACAGCAACAGCTGCTGTTGAATGGAATTTCTTCAGGGTGATTCACGTTTTTATGTTCTTCCAAGTCAGCAAGCTGCAAAAACATGCAGCCATGCAACAGGCACAAAACAAGTTCAAACAGTGAGCAGCAGAGGAGGAGAAAGAGTATCCCAAACATGCTGCTTTAGTTACACAGAATGAAACTTAACTCTGAAAATTGCTGGGACTTCAAAGGCTGTCTGGTGTTTGTACATGTGTGCAGGCCCATGTGTGTATTTTCATCTCTCATGGTTCTACATGCACATTACTGTGTTAAGTGGATTACTTGGCCCTGCTGATTACTAAGGTTCAGAGGGCCTCTGGGGCCAAATGAACAGACTGACAGACACACTGTGACACTGTGTACCATGAAGAAATTAACAAGGCACGGTTGCCCTCTAGTGAGTGCTCCAAGAATGGCTGACATTTTTACATTTTAAATCTCGCCGTCATCCTCAGTGCCTTATAACACAATACTACCCTTGCATACCAAGAATGATCATGTACCATGAAAGACACAAGGGGGCCCAGGAGGTAGAGCATGTCATCTCCTAACTGGAGGGTTGTTGGTTCAGTTCACAGTACAACATGAACCAAGTCAATATTAGCAGAACTGTGTAGCTGCTAGTAGTTTTATACCTCTCTTATAGGCCTAGGCTGCATCCCATGATACTCTCAGCTCCTCTCCTCCCCTCTACATATTATTTTTCTATGCCACCATTACATGTCACTAACTTTGTGTCTCCACTCTCCCATAGTGTGTCCTCTATCTCTCCCTGTACCTTTCTACAGGTAGCCATGGCCCTAGAGCTCTACGTTTCTGCTGAGCACTCACCGACCACATCAACCTGACCAGTGTTTGATTGTTTGTGTCTTGTTGCTTTTCTTTTCCTTTCTCTCTCCTCTATGCACTCACCCCAACCGGTCAAGGCAGATGGCTGCCCACCAAGAGCCGGGGTCTGTCGGAGGTTTCTTCCATTAAAAGGAGTTTTTCCTCCCTGCTGTTACCAAGTGCTGCTCAGGGGAGTTGTTGGGTTTTCCCTATAATACTGTGAGGTTTACTATGTAAAGTGCCCCAAGACGACTGCTGTGAATTAGCACTATACAAATAAAGTTGAACTGAACTGAACTGAATTTAGATTTGTCTGGTTTAAGAAGCTCCCTGTGGAAATTACTTCACTAAGCGCACTAGAGAGCAAAAACTTAGGCAGAAGGTTGCATCACAAGAGTATCTCTCTCAGACTCGTTGCGAATTTTACATTTTTTAAAATCTGAGTCAATACAAAAATCTCTGCCAAATGTCAAAAAGGCTTCAGGTATTCCACTAAACACAGAGACGTGCCACACAACTGACCCCCAGAATTCATAAACACGCATGAACGCAGCAACAACATCAGTGACTGGGGCAGGAATAATGTCACAACAACAACATACATTTGCAGCATAGTTAGAAAGTTAACTAACTTTCTGTGAAAAAGTAATTTAGCAAATCAGTGACACTGTATTCTCAGCAAATACTGTCCTGACTGCAAAGTGAAGACTTAGCTTGGACATCCAATGATGTCTGGCACAGGTTCAGTATCTGGACGTCTTTTGTGGACACAGACATATGTTTTGGATGTCTACTGACCTCCAGTGTAGGTGTCTACAATACATGCGGCTACAGAACCTATGCTAGACGATGGGGAATGTCCACATTATGTCTGGTTGAGACATGCAGACACTTAACTAACTTTGAACATCTGAAGACATCCAAAACAGGCCCATCTCAGGTCTTAGCATTCTGAGTCATTGTTGGATGTCTGATGACCTCCAAAATATGTCCTGAATAGACATCAAGGTATTTACCAGTCACGTCTTGTGTCTAGATGTACAGATACATAGTTTGGACGTCTTGTACAGACATCCAAATCTGTAATGCATGTTCACGGATGTCAAAAAAATGTCTCTATTTTTCTGTCCTCCTCGGTTACATACATGAGGGGGTCAGAATATTAGGAACACCTCTAAATATAACGTAGTCCAGTACACTGCCACCTTTAACTATGACCTCAATACTAAATAGATAATTGGCGGCTGTGGCTGAGGAGGTAGAGCAGGTTGTCTCCTAACCGGGAGATTAGCGGTTTGATTCCCGGCTTGTCCAGTCCACATGTCGAAGTATCCTTGAGCAAGACACTGAAACCCTAGCTGCTCCCGATGATGACACCGGTGTGTGAAGGTGTGAGTGCTTGGGAGTGTGAATGGCCAAATAGTGTGAAAGTGCTTTGACGGTGTTGCAACGCATAGAAAAGCGCTGTAAAAGTATAAGACCATTTAGACATTTATGACAATTTCACAAAAAAACAAACATTTTGAGCTTCATAAACAGATGTTAAGGTAGAAGTGTTGCGTTGCATTGCATACAATTGAACAGGTGTACCTAATAAAGTGGCTGGTGAGTGTGCGTTGTTTGTAAGCTATTAGCCACGTGCTTATCACTAATTTTTTGGGACTCTTGACTCTGAACAGAAATCAGTTTTGGACCTTTGAAGATTAAGCTTGAGAACCCCTGGCCTAATGTTCATGTAAGTCCTTTTGCAAAGCACTGATTAAAAAAAAGTAGAAAAAAAAATGTTGAGCACAAAGAAAATTCTCTACCTGTCATGGAGTTTTCTGAGGTGCTGAGCTGTTCTCTCAGCTTGTCCACATCGTCAGGGTGGACCTGTTCGTACAGAGTGCTGCCAAACCACTCTGACTGGGGGTGGTTCAGCACTGGCGTCACGGAGTCCGACACATAGATCACCCGGCCCGTCTCTGCAGCAACCACAAACAGGAAACCATCCGCTGCCTCCAGGATCAGGTGCTTCAGCTCCTACAGGGAGCAGTAAGGTACATGAGCACACACATACAGATAGGATCAAAGATAAAACATCATTATAGGTGAACATTTTTTGGCCTACCACAGACAGTCAAATACGTGGAGAAAGAGTATAACACATTTTGAAAAAACAAAGTAGCTGAAGAG